AAATGTGTGTGGGATTGGGCACCTCCAGCTGGGGTATTCTCTCTATTAGCTAAATTGGTGAAGATAAAAGATGAGTTGATTCTTAAATCTGGAGGAAAGACAGAGATGGTAAATCAACTGAGCTCATTTTGCCTTAACGATAGACTGTCAGCTAGTAAGGTATATGATTTGCTTAGAACCAAAGGGAGTAGCAAGCCGTGGATGCCCCTTATTTGGAAAAGATATATCCCTCCTAAATTTTCATTTATTTTATGGCTTGGTATGACAAATAGACTACCCACGTGTGACAATCTCATGTACATGGACATTAGTAGGGAATGTTATTTTTGCAAAAAAACACTTGGAATCTGTGGAACACTTGTTCTTTCTATGTCCCGTTACTGGACATGTTTGGAAAGGGACAAGGGAGTGGTTAAAACTAAGAAGAAACTCAACTACTCTTCTAAGTGCAGTAAAAATGTGTAAGGAGGAATATGAAGGTGCTCAGATAGTTACTAAGGCAGTTAGACTGGCCCTAAATGCCACAGTTTACTTGGTTTGGAAAGCGAGGAATGATGAATTTTTTGCTAACACTCGTACTACAGTGAACAGTCTTATTGAACAAATCAAGATCAATGTGTATAAGTTGCTCTTTAGACTTTACCCTCATATTTTGATTAGTTTTTGATTCTGTGTTGTTTGGCTGTTGCTTTGTTATCATTGGTGCACTAGAGCAAAGTTTTGTGATGCTCATGTGTTTTCTGGGGAATGCCCCTATGATGGTGTAAATACTTTTTGGTTAGTCATGTATTTTTACATTTCATCAAAAAAAAAAATTAACTCCTCGTTCACATTGTACATTTCACCCTTTAAAGGACCACATTTATAGTAATTTGGTCAATTGAGGGGTGACATTTACAAACTGGGGAATATGGGTCCGACATTTCAATATGATGAGTATTTCAGAGACTAAAAGTGCGATTTTCCCTATTTAATAGTTACATTTCAGATCAAAATACTATGTACTAGTATATGTTTATGAAAATGTGAGCATCATTTTGTATATGCTTAAAAACTAGACCTCGAAGACACCCCACAAAATGACCCGACCATAGGTCAATCTAGGTCCATCAGGTCAATATTGGGAATTCTGTCAATAATAATACTACGTCTGTCTCGTTCAAAGATTCTCATTGCAAAATGACACGATTATTTAAACAATAGTTATATATGCTAATAATTCGAATATATTTTGAGAAACAATTTTGATTGATATATAATATAATGAGCTATTGATGATAATTGTGATGTTATATACTATGTATGTATTCTTTTCAATATTCGATGATAAATTTATAATTTTAGAGTGTGAATTATTTTTTAAAATGGAAAATGAGAATCTTTGAGTTGAGACGTTCAAAAAGAAAATGTGAGAAAAAGTTTGAATGGGGCGAAGAGAGTACTAGTCATACATACATAGTAGTTGTGATATTTATTGTACACTTAATTTTCTATTTGACATATACGGAGTACAGTTTAACATGACACTTAGTTTAAATCATCCGAAAACGGGTTTCCCTGGTCATTCCACTTTTCGGATCCGGTCTGGATAATTTTTTTTTTGTTTTCACTCGTTTCTGGGGTTTCCATGAACCAAACTGGATTTTGGTCAGGATCATTTCGCTGGTTTTATGGTCTGATTTTTAAATATAACCTATCAACATGTGATAAGTTTTTAAAAGTTTTTTATACTTGGTACCAGGGCCGTAGATGAGGCTGTGCAAGCTGGGCTACTGCACAGGGCCTCCAAAAATAGTAGGCCCATTTGTTTTAAAATTTAAATAGTATATATATAAAGTAGAGAAATATTCAGGTAGAACCGCTGTCCGGACGGTAGCGTTTCAGCGTCTTCCGAGTTGAATTTTTTGATGATTTTTTTATGGCATGTTCTTCATCAAATCTAGTTTATTCAAGAAAAAATTCAGCTAAATATTCAATCGGGAAGGTCGTCAAATAATTTTTAGAAGTTAACTGCGTTTTATTTGTATATTCCGGCGCAGTTATCTTTCAAAAATCATATGACGGCCTTTCCGATTGAATTTTTAGCTGAAAGTTTTTGTCCATAAACTAAAATTGATGAAGAACATGCCATAAAAAATTCATCAAAAAATTTCAGCGGGAAGGGCCTCAAACGCCTCCGTTTGTAATTGTTTAAATTATTAGTAGGAGCCCATTTGTATTTTTGAAACACCTTTATACACCAAACGGCCCAACTCCAAATAAAAGCAAATCATACGTCGAAACATTAGATCTATGCATTTTACTATTTTTTAATTCTAATTTTTTTAAACTTTATGTTGATTTTTTTGAATGTTATAATATCTCAAAAATTTACTTGAGAGCCTTTTAGAACATTTTCAAATCACAAAATCATACTCTTTAATATTTTTTCAGTTTTTACAAATTTTTAGTATTTTATTTATCTTAATTTTCACATTTTTATTTTAGAAGACGTACATTTATTATTTTTTGACATTACCTTAAACTGTTTAATTTTTTTTTGTGTATTTCTGAAAAATTTATAGGATTTTTTCTTGCTTTAATTTATATTTAAAATTTTTTCATTTTTAATTGTACATATACTTTATAATTTTTTAGTTTTATATTTTTAATTTTATTTTTTCTAATGAATAATTTACATTTTTTCAATTTTGAGAAATGTTTTCATTTCTTACGTTTTAATATTTATATTTCTATATTTTTTTCCTTTTTGTTGTAATTTCATTAAAATCTCGGTTTATATGGGGTATACGAACTCTTTTTAAATTTTAAAACTACTTTAAAGTGTGTTTCTTTTTTATTTTTATTTTTATTTCTGCATTTATAAGTTTTCAATAATTATTTTAACATTTTTCTGACTATTTTTTTAAATTTAAATATTTTTTATATTATTTAGACTTAGTTAGAAGTTTTAGACTTTGTATTTGTTATTATGCCTTCTTGTTTTTTCTTAACTTGGATACTTTTTTATAATTTTTATATTTTATGTTTATTACTCTTATTACTTTTTTTATTTAATATTTTTTGCATTTTCATAAATTTTTACATTATTATTCAAAAATATAAATTAAATAAATATTGAGCTTGTACGTAGTATTAGTTTGTCAATAGTGGACATAGAGCACACGGAGCAGTAGAGATGGATCTTTACGCAGATCAGTCTAGTTTTGAGATATTATTTAATAAAAGGCCTCATTTGTGTGATTCGTACCGGGTTTCTTAATTTGTCAAGCCGGCCCTGCTTGGTACATTTAATACGAAGTACTTCGTATATCTAAAAGATCCATTTGTCAACGTAAGTTTTTATGAATAATTGGTATCGTTTTTCCATTTAGTTTTCAACATAAATAAGCAGTAACTAATAATATTATTCAACCTAAGAAAACAAGGTAATGTAATTTCTATTTATTGTTGACTTGTTGTTAGGGTAAGTCCTGCGTATTTCCGGGCTCATGGCGGCGATAATCTATCATAGGTTATTGTTACAAATTGTAAAGCCATTTTTCTTGAAAATAACATGCATATAATAAATTGTTAGATTTAGGGTATGTTTGACACAATTAGGTGAAAAGATACTTTTGTGATGTTTTTAATAACTGATAGCTTTTAGTGTCTGAAAAGATCTCAAAGAGAAAATGTGGTAGCTATTTGGTAAAAAATTGTCTGTTTGATTTAGTTCGGTTAGGTATACAAGCTGTTAGGAGTAATTAATACTAAAAGTCACGGGCTTTTTCCAGATGTTACTCCATATATAATCTCAAAAAAGATCTTTTAATTTTTGAAAAGCTCTTTAAAATTATCATGTCAAACATATAACTAGAATCCTTTAGAGACTTTTTGAACAGTACAAAAGTTAGAAGGTAGAGATTTATGTCTGCCAAACATAGCCTAGGGCTATGTTTGGTAATAACAAAAAACTGTAGAGCCCGTATGATAATAACCAAATCGGCTATATTGGCTATTCCGCTGAAATTTATGAAGTTTTGTCTGAAATGACTGGATTGACTTCTTCTGCTCATTTATAAAAAAATATTTAAAATATATTTCATTAATAAAATAAAGAAAAAATTACACTGCGTATGAAAAGCAACTAAAATGATCCTCTATAGTTACATCAGTCAAAAGAGTCAGAAAAATAACTTCATTCTTATATTTTTTATTACTACGTATTACGTAATTCAACGCGCGAAATAAAAAATCACATGTTCGAGCCAAAAATTGGTGATAAGTCTCATAAGGCTCGTGAATGTTAGGTGAATATCAATCTATTAAGATTGATCTATCAAGTACGTAGTGTTTTGAAGCAATGCATTTCGAAAGTCAGAAGTTTCCAACTTTCCAAGGCAACCTCGACTTTTAACTTCCGGCTTTCTTCGGCGTCTGAAATCCGAAAAGGCAGAAGCCCTTCAGTTTTGGTTTGGGCCTAACTAGCAGTCTCGAGAAGAAGAGACATGTAAGGCTAAATAGAAGCCTACTCACTATTAATACAAACACTACATATTGGGCTTAAATGTTTTTACAAAATTTTGGGCCTAGGGTCATTGCCCTTGGCCTGCTGCCCCCAGGTCCGCCCCTTGTTCTTGTTAGTATTACTAGTTTGACTATTACTTTCTCCGTTTTTAGTGCCAAAATTTCTTTTTTCATGTTTGTCAATGCACAAGTTTGACCGTCATTATATTTAATTCTCTATTAGTAAAAAACTTTTAAAAATCAGATTACGAAACTTCGTAATTAGACGAATTCCAGAATATTTTTCAAAATGAAAATAATTCACATACATTAATAAATAAGATATAGTCAAAGTGGAGTACATGAATAATGTGTAAATTTCAATGTTGCAACTATTATGATACAAAGGATAGTATATTGTTTAAGTTTTTATTACGGAGTATTACAAAAGTATTGATTTAAAAACTCCGTTCCGGATTTCGTTACAAATCAGATGCGTTATGCGTACAAACCTGTGAAGCGAGCGATAAAGGAACCATATTTTGTATGTCGTCGAGGCTGGCCTCCATTAATCTCCTTGACCGTATGCATCTTGAGTGTATAATGTCTCCTCTTAGGGCCTGCGGGCCAGCCGGCGTATTTGCCAGTTAAAATAATTACTCTCTCCGTTCCTATTATAACTTTCAATTTTTCTTTTTCATCTGTTCCGATTAAAACTTTCACTTTCCCTTTTTGGTAAAAAATTTGTGGTTCATAACATTTCTTACACATTTTTCTCTCATCTTCACAACTCTCCACCACACAATACTCATTGTCTTAAATTGTATGTCAAACCTATTTGGAAGTTATAATAGGAACGGAGGTAGTAGTTCACAAAAACATTCTGGAGTATATCTATATATGAGTTGGTTGCATGTTAAGAAGAAAGTTTTCTCGAAAAAGTACATTTCCATTTCGAAAACTTTACGAGCACTCTACAAATAATTGTTTTTTGTATTAAAAAATGACATTTCTCATTTCCCGTAAGCGCACTTGCGTGCAACATAGGTGGTAGATAGAGAAGGTTACATACAAGGTAGAGCTTACTAGATTGAGTGCATTGGTTGATTATTGACTTCAACTCTTCGATGGCTTTGTTCAATGAGCAAAGCGACTCCATCCCTGATGTGCATCGGGGCCGAGTTGATTCTATTGCTGCAAGTATCCTTGAAGCTTTACTCACAATGTTGATTAATGTTGTGCACATTAAGGGATAAACCTGTACAAGTTTAATGCATTAAGATCGATGTATATATTACGTATGTTTGTATATGAGTCTGTTTATTTATTTGTTAAATAAATAGTCCTAGTTGAGTAAAATAATCAATTTAATATCATTATTAGGTTATATAGTCATTGAGTAATTCCATTTATTAATATAATTAAATCTATTCCATAATTATTTTAAACAAATGTGATGAATAGACGTTTTAGTTAATGGGCATGTTATATGAAGTAAATCCACCATTAAGACACAAGTAAACGACACTTTAATCTCTACCAAAAGATTAACCTTGATATTGTTTTTGTAGGTAATATTTGAGTATTAAAAACTCTTAGGCCCTGTTTGGTTGGAGGGTTTCGGAGGGGATGAGATCAGGAAAGTGGGGGATTTATGTGTGTTTGGTTGAATGAAATAGGGGGAAGGGGAGGAAAGTGGAAGACTTTCAAAATCCTTCACTTCCTCCCATTCTAAACCCCCCAAATCGGGGTATTTCGGAGGAAACGTGTTGATAACCACAAACTATCCATCTCCTACGTGAATGAACAAAACGTTATAATATAAAAAGGAAAAAAACAAAACGTTTTGAAAAATTAAAAAATTTAAAAATTTAAAGATTAAAAAAATTAAAAATTAAAAAAATAAAAATTTTAAAAATTAAAAAATTTAAAAATTATAAATTAAAAATTTTAAAAATCAAAAATAAAAAAATTTAAAAATAAAAAATAAAAATTAAAAATTCCAAACTGAAAAAAGAAAAATTATAAAATTAAAAAAGTAAAAAATCAAATAAAATAAAATTATGACTCATGACCATAGGAGTAATATTCATAATAGTTAGACATGTATCTATTTTTTTAAGTAAGCTATCAAATAAAAGTAAATTGCGAAAATATTTTCATTAAACCTTACCTCCTATTTCGTCCAACCAAACACAAATTTTTATCAAAATCATTTCTTCCCCTTCCCTTCCCTCCCCTCCTTTAAACCAAACAAGGCCTTAGGCCCTGTTTGGTTGGATGGTTTCGGAGGGGATGGGAGGAAAGTGGAGGATTTATGTGTGTTTGGTTGAATGAAATAGGGGGGAAGGGGAGGAAAGTGGAAGGCTTTCAAAATCCTCCACTTCCTCCCATTCTAAACCCCCAAAATCGGGGTATTTCGGAGGACACGTGTTGATAACCACAAACTATCCATCTCCTACGTGAATAAACAAAACGTTATAATATAAAAAGGTAAAACACAAAAAATTTTGAAAAATTAAAAAAAAAAACTTAAAAATTTAAAGATTAAAAAATTTTAAAAATTAAAAAATTAAAAATTTTAAAAATTAAAAAATTAAAAAATTATTTATTAAAAATTTTAAAAATTAAAAATATTTAAAAAATAAAATTAAAAATTAAAAAATTCCAAACTGAAAATTGAAAAATTATAAAATTAAAAAAGTAAAAAATTAAATAAAATAAAATTACGACTCATGTCCATAGGAGTAATATTCACAATAGTTAGACATGTATCAAATAAAAGTAAATTGTGAAAATATTTTCATTAAACATTTCCTCCTATTTCCTCCAACCAAACACAAATTTTTATCAAAATCCTTCCTTCCCCTTCCTTTCCCTTCCCTCCTTGACTCTCCCCTTCCCTCCCCTCCTTTGAAGTTTGAACCAAACAAGGCCATATGTCGCTGTGAAAGGTGCAACATGAATTACTCCCTTTTCCCATTATATATCGTCACAATTCCAACTCTTATCTCAAACTCTTTGAATCAAACCAAACGGTTAATATTTGTATGGCTCATTGCATATTGTACATATATGGAGTAGTTTAATTTAGAAGTAGAAAGACAATTTAAAGGTTCCATACTGACCAAATTAACCACATTTCAATTATGAGGACTAGTTTTGTGAACTAAAAACTGACCTTACCTATTAATTATTATCAAGTTGAATGCGTTGGACAATCAATTAATTTGAACAATAACGTTATATATATGCGTACCTTGATGGAGCTAGGATTTAGAAAAGCTTCCATATCATCAGTAAAAACAACAGATCCCATAATTAATTGATTAATTAATTAATTAATTAATCAAAGGAATAGAAATGTGAATAGCAAAATATATAAACCGATCCAGCTGCAAAATGTAAACAAACAAACAAATAAGCAAAAAGAATAAAGAAAAGCAGCAATCATAAGCTCTATATTATATTATTGAGATGTGAATCATGAAAATAAACAAATTAAAATATTCTTACCAGTTGATAATGCAGAAAATTAAAGGAATATAGTGATCAGTCAATCAAGGCCGGGCAGGCAAAAATCACGTTAGACTTCAAGGAAAATGAGCTCGCGGATGAATATATATTATTGTATAAATAAATGTATGTAAATATTTCTAATGAATACGTATATGTATAAACTACGTACAGTACAGAGCTTCTGCTGCAGGTGACGAACATGAATTTTTTGTTTGCATTTTAGGTACGTATTTTGATGAAGTGAGGTCAGCCCGTCGGTGAACTGGAAAATAAACAATGGAAGGTGGGAAATGTTTAATGGACGTGAAAGCTGGGTCACTACTCACCTATTCATAAGTCACATCATCTTAAAATTAGGGAGTACAATCGTACAATGTAGGAAAAACACTTGAACCAATAGAAATAAAACCAAATCCACAAAAATAATCTTTACTTTTAGACATTCTACAATAATAATCCCTACCTAGAGTATTTGTAAAAATAATCCGAACTAGCAATAGGTCCACAAGAATAAATTGAGGTAAATTAAAATTATTTCTCATTTAATTCTCCAAAATCTTACCTCTACTTTCCCCTTCACCACTCTTCTTTTCGGGTAACACTTCTATCTTCTATCCTAGAAAGAACCACATATGGTGGAAATGACATTAAGATTAAACGGGTTTTAGTTTGAATTCACTTCGATCAGAAGAGTAGTGAAGAGAAAAGTGAGAGTAGGGATTGATAGTATTTAACGAGCATTAATTTGAATTCACCCCAATTTATTCTTGTGAACACTATTGCTAGTTCGGATTATTTTTATAGACACTCTCAGTAGGGATTATTATTGTAGAATCCTTAAAAGTAGAGATTATTGTTATGAATTTCACCTAGAAATAATGAGTAGTTATTTAAAACAAAAATTATATAGGTACCCCAAAATGTACCCTATTTTGTACCCACCCACCTAAATTTGTTTGAAAGAGGGCAAGACTTTCTATCCAAATGTCTGTGTACACAGACAGTGTACAGACTGGGGTACAAATTAGGGTACCCCAATCAGGACTCTATTTAAAAAGAAATTGTTCGTTAATAGGACTAAAACATTAAGGAAGTTCCAAAATAAGAGGACTTAATGATTTATTCCCTATATAGGAGTTTATTGTTGACTGGCTTGTTCCTTTTCCCAATTATACCCTTCTTTCTAAGTACCCTAAATTAGTTATATTTATCGATTGATTTTCCTTCTGTCAAGTAACTTCCGTCTCCATCACACTTTTTTTCTTTTTTTTTCCTACCTTCGCCCATCTCCTCCCGTTTCTCCTCTGGCACTCACTCATCCATTTAACCATCTCGAGACTTCATCTCTGTCGGACTGTCGGTGGATTACAAAGGTTTGGGCAGTGAATTTCTCCGTCGAACTCCGGTTGTCAGCGTACAACGGGGCAAACACATGTAAGTTTGATTTCCTCCTCCTCATCATCATCATCATCATCCTCCTTCTCTTCTTCTTACCCTACTTCTCCATTATTTATTTCTCCTTTGTGCAGCTTCACCTTTTGGAGCGTAAACCTTCTTGCTTTCATTACAACCAAATTTTGATTTGATTTTTAAGTGAATGTTCTTTTCCCTTTCGAGAACTGAATTTCTCAAGCTTCAATCTCCCTTTTCCTTTATTTGGTCTTTCAATTTTTCTCACCTTTTATTCCTTTGACTCTTTATTTTATCTTTCTATTTTTTGCCATTTCAAAAAATGGCAAAATTGTTTTATGAATGCCATGTTTTTCAATATGTTTGGCAAATATTGCCATTTTACATTTATGAAGTGTTTTTCGGTATGTTTGGCAAATAATGTCATTTTACATATATGAAGTCGACATTAATTTCGTAAAGATGGCAATTACACGGATATGTTAAGCAAATAATGCCATGTTTTACAAATGTTAATTTCATGTATTTTTTATAAAATGACATTTTGATTTTAAAATGACATTAAATAATATTTCATTATTTTTATGAAGATGGTGATAATGTATATGGCAGGAGATCTGCATCTAAGTAGAGAGACATGGAAGCAGGCACACCAGTAAAATCAGTGGTGGTGGCGGAACATATGGCAGCAATCCGAGAGGATGTGTGGTGGCGATGGAAGATAGAGGGTAGCAGCAGTAGATGAAGACTTGCTTGGCAGCGACGGCAATTTAGGGCGGTGGCGTCTGGCGTCAGGAGGCGGTGGCGTCCGGCGTCCGACGGTGGTGGCTGAACAAGAGGTGATAGTCCAGCACCACATCTCGTGTGGTGATATGTTGAGAATAGGCTATACACATGTGTAATTTATTTTATATGTATGTGTGAGTTGATAAACAGATTAAACAAACCAGGATTTCATCATTGAGGATACTTTGATCAGTTTCTATTAAAACTTCTGTATGAAACATAAGTAACTCATAGGACTCCTATTTTTGCATATTTTCTATGTTTAACTTCCATATTGGGAATTCTCTCTTATTTAAACGCTTGAACCTTTGTACCTAGTACTTCCCCGTCCAGTAATATTGGACTAAGAAGAGGTGTCACGTTTATTAAGAAAAATGTGTTTATGTGATTGATTTTGAATCGATAAAGTAAAGATATATATATATATAAGAATGATTTAGAACTACACAAGCTTTAACAAATATGATATGAAGTTATCTTAGTATGATTTTCTGAAAAAGTAAAATGAGATAATATTAGCGTGACGGAGGAGTGTAAAATAATCCCTTCCGAACGTTAAAAAGAAAATCCTAGCTAAGCTTCATCAATCTCGCGGCTCCCCCTCTTCGCTACTCCTCTCTATGCGTCAACACCATGTGATGCCTCTTCTTCCACCATCGCTATTTGCAGGGCCGGTCCTGAGGAAATGAAGGCCATGTGCAAAAAAAATAATTGGGCCTTCTTTTCAAAGTTTCAACACAAGTTAAAAAAACCGAACCGAAACCGCACCGACTCAAACGGGACCCGAAAGTCGGGACTCGAACATACATCAGTTTAATGAAGGTTTTTTGAGTTATAAAATCGGTTCAAACCGAACCGAACCGATTTTTATTAAGAAGTATTTTAATTATTTATTTTGTAGAACAAATAGGTAATATAAAACTTGTGTGTCTGTATTTCAACAATTAGTTGATTTGGTTCGGTGATTGATGTTTAGAAATCAACGTGCATGCTTTTATTTTCACCTGGGTTCAAATCCTGCATGCCTCGCTTCTTTTCTTTTTAGTTTCTAAAGCTTAATTAAGATTCCCACACCGGTGTAAACGGAGGATTTACTACTCCTTCGTTCCTATATACACGCTCCTCCATTGCAAATGAGGAATACGCGAAGTGACGAACCAGGCCTGCTTCGAAGCCTTGCCCTAGTCCACCTAAGTAATACTACTCCCTCCGTCCCACTAACATTGGGACAAGAGGGAGTGACACACAAATTAATCAAAAGTGGTTTATGTGGTTGATATTGAATTGATAAAGTAAGAATAAAGTAAGAATGATTTAGAGTCACACAAACTTTACCAAATTTGGTATGACACAATCTTAATGTGACGAACCGATAAGGTAAAATGAGATCATCATAGCGGGATGGAGGTAGTAGTATACTACTACAAAAAAAATCGGGCCCTTCCAATTTTTTGGGCCCTGTGCTGTTGGACACCCTGCACACCACCAGGGCTGGCCCTAGCTATTTGTCGCCTTTCTATGATGCCTCTTCTTCCAACATCGTTGTTAATTTCAGATTCAATGTATCATCTTCTCCTCCTCCTTCCCCTTATTTCTCCACTGTTTTTGTGTGTAAGAGTTTAGATTTTTTTCATTCATTTTGGTATTTATCAAAAGGAATTTTTTTGATTTCATTAAATTTTTTAGTTGTTCCATCAAATTTTCTGATATTTGGACACTATTTTCGTAGTTCTGTCTTGTGATTCCATTGAATTTCCAATTTCAGTTAAAATAATGGTTATCTCGAATTTGAATATTGGCTTTCTGCTTTTCTAAATTTTTAACAGTTTTGTGTAATATTTAAAAGAGTTTTTCCTTAAATGTGACTAAATTCAATTCAATTTCCCAAAAAATGACGACTATTATAGATGTAATAAAATGTGATTAATATGATCATATTTTTGAAAAAAACATGATGTCACTCTAAAATTTTCATGTCACTGTCAGATTTTCATTTAACTAATAGATGTCACTTCTAGATCTTCATGTCACTTATTGATGTCAATGTCGCTGCGAAACATGTCACTATGACCATTGTATAATTTTCATGTGACTTTTTTTGTCGATTTTGAAAAAAATGATGAAAAAAGATCATTAAAACATTCCGGCGGCTTTTCTGGCGGCGGTGGCAGTTTTGGCACAATGTGATGACAACAGTAGTGCAACTAGGGTTTTAGAAAAGATTTTTTATTTTTATTTCTTAACTATAAATATATTTAGATTTCCATCATTTGCAATGGAACCCAAGATTCATCTTTGTTATGAAGCAGCAGTCAGTCCATGCAATTTTGGACGCGATTTTCACTATGGGTCATCCACAAACAGTCTCTCTGTACCTTAGTATAGGGGTAAGACTGTGCACATCCGACCTTCCTTACCCCACCGTAGGTGGGAGCCTTTGCGGCACTGGGGTAAATGAAAATGAAAATGAAAATGAACTATAAATATATTTAGAATTTCATTAAGGGTAATCTTTTCAAGTAAATGCATTTTTAGTACTATGAAACATGTAACTCCTATTTGGGCACTTGTTCATTCTTTTAGTCCATTTAGAGAATTCACTTTTTGAGTTTTTCCAAAATGCATGCATGTTATATTTTCTTTTTATACACATGATACTACATACTCTCTTCTGTACACAAAATTTTATCAACTTTACTTATTTAGTTATTTCAAACACTAATCCTGGTCATTTCAAGTTAAAATATTTAAATCATGGTTACAATTATTTCTTTCTCCTTTGCATAAATATTCACAACATGATTTCTACTTTATTATTTCAACTACAAGTTTAGTTTGAAAAATTTTTACAGGACAAATGAAAGTATAACAATACTTACCATTCATTTTACTTAAATCTACAACTTTATCATTATCATTTTGAAATCAAATAAAAAAATCTTACTCGATCACATTAACTTCACGTGAATTTGAAAAAAAAGTACGTGCAGTTTATTGTTTACCAAATCGATGAGCTCATCATAAGTGAAGTGTGATTTTTTCAATTAATTACATACCCACTCAAGGGTATCATTCATGGAGTTTTCTTTAAATGT